GGTGCCAGGGTGGGGCTGTGGCCACATCTTTGAATTATTCTGTGCCTCAGGTCCCCAGTCCAGCCTCACCGGGCAGCACCAAATCAAGGAAGGAGAAAAAATAATTTTAAAGAAGCCCTCAAACCATCAGGGTTATTCTGGCCAGCTCTGAGCTGGCCCAGGGCTTAGTGTGTTTCGGAAGGATGGGAGCAGCATGTGAGCCCTTTAATAAAACCAGGACTCCCAGCACAGCAACGGGAAAGGGGCTCAGCTTTCTTTTTGGTTTTCCTTCATGACTGCAGGGCTCAGGGATGCTGAGCAGAGTGCAAACAGCAAGGCCAGACCAGAGGGCAGGCAAACATGTGCTGTGCTGCCCGTGTGTTAGCTGGGGAGCATGTGCTGTGCTGCAAGCGAGCGTTCCTGAAATACCCACTTAAAAACTGCTGCCCCTCGGCAGTTTTACCTTCTGAGTCCCTGCCTAAGGCAGCAAGCACCTGCACCAGCACTCTGGAGGTGGTCCTGGCGCTTTGTAACCACCCAGGGCATCGCCAATGTCCCTGTCCCCTGTGTCCCCACCAAGGGACCGGTCACCATCTTCCCACTCAACTTTTTGCCCCAACTCTCCCTTGTCTGTGATAGAAACAAACCCAGGCACAAACCTCATCAGTCCCCTCACCTCCAGCACAGCCTCCGCTGCAGATGACAGCACTTGGGGTGCTCTGACCTATACAGGGCCAAAGGAGACCAAGAATGGTTCCTTTGACCAGCCCATGGGCAAGGGACAGGTACAGCCGCCTGGCTTGAGCCCGCAGATGTCGGAGCACTGCCACGACATTGCCTTGCTGCAGGTCTGGTGCTTCCAGCAAAGGAGGGAGGTGTAGGGAGATCGATTTACCAAGCTTAAAAATATAACCTGGCCGAGGGAAGGGTTTTGCCCTTCTAGAATTACCTTTTCCCATGTATAGGTTATACTGTACGTGAACAAAGCCACTTGAGTCAGCATGGCTAAGCTTTAGAAACAAACAAACAAAAACCAGTCACCAAACCAAAATCAGGAACCTGGCTTTTTGGCTCCTTCAGAGCATCAGCAAAGCCTGAGTAAGGCAGCTGAATTAAGACATGAGCTTGCTCTGTCCCCATACAAGCCAGCAGGAAGCTCAGACACCCCCCACTCGAGCTAGCTCACCTTTTGGGCATGTTGGTGTGTGAGCAGGTGCTCACGCTGACCTGCAAGTTATCGCAAAGCCACGCACTTGTCCTTGGCTACCCAGTTCTGGAAAAAAAAAACAACTTAGTGTAGAGCAGCTTCTAAACTTGTTTTCAGTCTATCAGGTTTTATTTGTGTTTTCTATCAGGGAAAAACAAGCAGGCTTTCTGCCAAGGTGCAAGGAATTAGTCAAAGATAAGGATGACCTGACTGCAGGTTTAAGGGAAAATGGTTTCTCAGGTTGCCAGTGCTCCTGTGTTCTCTTGTTTCAGCTCGCTTGTCCCCAGAACACCTTTCTGGGAGTGGGGGGTAGCA